ATAACAAATATTAACCCGTGGTTTTCAAGCGGCAAATAGCCCACCTGATGCATTAAATAGCAAGCGAAAACCTGTTATTTCGTATGCAATTATTGCCCCAACCGACGTTAACCCCTTGAACCTTCGAATAAATAACATTATGTTTTGGGTGGGCATAGAGGGTTAATTTCATTCAATACGTCGTCACCAGATTGTCATCTGTCAGGTAACAACAAGCGTGCCAACAAAAGACAATTGGGACCGTTTATGTAGTAAGCATTTACATAATAGACTTGTGGACAATACTATCGCGTTGGGGCTCGATTTCATCTTATTAAAAACGTTATATTCCACTAACACATATGGTACATATCAAAATTATACGTGTGTCATCTTTGTCCTGTTGTAAATTAAAAAATGAAATCATAAATTATAACATAGGAGGTTCCATTTTGGCTTGGGTAATATGACAAAGTATTGTTAATACGGGCTCCTTCATGAGCTTAAGTTTTCTAGTTACAATGAAAACACGGCGTCGTCCGGCATCGGGCCTTTAAAGTTCTGCTAAGATATTACAAATAAACAAGGCTCGTGTGAAATCAGCCTTTTGTTATCTCAGCGTCCTTATGGTGTATAATACGATATCGATGAATGTGTTGTAGCGAGTGAAAATAGCGATGATTTTACGTGGCAGTGTGGATATGACTCGGGTAAAGGTTGCTTTTGCACTAGTCTGTCATAATATTTCTGAAATTGAAATTCTCTGAAATTTCTGTAAAATAGACAAGTTAACTATCCCTTCCCACAGGTCTTGTGACCAAACCTCTATAATATACATTATCAACTTCACTAACACTAACTAAATCTCTTAACTGTTGCCAGATTTTCAAGTTTTTTGATTGTTAGTTGCCACATTTTCAATTTTTTCAAGAATGTTTGCCAGATTTTTACATTTTCTAACGATGGTTGCCAGTATTTAAGTTTTTTTTACTATGGTTGCCAGATTTTTACATTTTATTGCAATGTTGACTTTCCGTTATACACTACAACATTTTAGTGGCTTTGATATGGCGAGGAACTCTTCCATCACTCTTTTAACATTCCTCTTATTGTACTTCAAGAATCTTATGACTTGAACTAAATTTCATTCAGGGTGTGATTATCATTAGGTAAGTATGATTGACAAAAAACTTGAATCTCTTATTGGAAATTCTTTAGGTTTTTTAAATTAGAACACCGATGAATTTAATCATGCCTGGTACATACTTATAATACAAACTTTTAACTGCGGCCATACTATGCCAAACACTAATTTCCGTTTTCTGAAGAAGTAATACTCTCGGAAACCAGCATCTTTTAATAATTGTTTGATTGCTTCTTGAATTCTCTTGAGTTAGAGGAGCAGCAGAAACTTCCAATTTTGAGAGGTTTTAGATTTGTAAAGCACTTCAAAAGCTATTCAGATGTACCACGATAAACCCGGCTTCAATGCTCCACAATACGTTTGCAGATAGGCACTAAAAGAGTTTTGTTTTGGTCCGCGAAACCTCGTTGAGTTTAGCGAAGCGTTTTCCGCTAGGTTCGTTTAATTGGGCTTACTGGTGTACGAAATGGTCATGAAAAACCCTCTTGACAATTCATGGGCGTGAGTTTGAGCTGACTGTATTGCGAATTATGCGCTGTAAATAGTTCTAATCAACCGCGATTGCGGTTTTCAATATTTAACGGATATTTTATATATCTGGCGGAATTTGGGTATTCTTGCAGTAAAAGCAAAATTTGATATATTTTTTGCCGATCTCGACTTTGCAGGAAAAACCGTTTCTTAGAGTGATTGGCCTAATTACCGCTGGTTAAACATAGCGAGCCCAAATTTCGGGTTTGGCAATGCTAAGCAGGAAAGATTTCTGTCCTTCCAAACTGGCAATTTCTTATTTTGATTTTTGTTGAAAAAATGTAACGAACTTATTTAAATTATCAACCAGGACGTAATACATCAGGTAGGCAATACCAAAAAAGCAAGATTGCGGTCTTTTCACAAAAAGTAGCATTTAGTGGATGCCAGTACAGGGTATCACAACAAAAAAATGATCGTAGCACAGAATTGAGTACCACACGTTTCATATTACGTTAAATAAGAATATGGTTATAATTTCTTGTATAATTGCTTACAATTACCCATTCAATTTACGAAAACATGTTTATCATCCATACACGATTCCCTGTGAAACGATTAATCAGTTTTACTTGTAAAATCTATAATAATCGGCGTGACAAACCTTTGATATGGCACCTGTTCATTGAGAAACCTTATAATTACTACGATCGTAAATAGAAACAACCCCTACGGCGATTGTGCAAAGGGGAGCAGAGAAGGACGTTAGAATATAAATGGGATGGACAACCCGACATCCTTTACACTTCTATTATCACGCTCCGAAATTTTACCTAACCAATACTGTGACATTATATATATATTTTTGCTTGGATCGACTGATAAATGATATCCAATATTTTTATAATAATTGCGTGCTTTTATTTCGCAATTTTTGGAGCCATCTAAATATTTGATCGATTTTACACTACATGATCAAAATGGGAAACTATAAAATCTAGAAATAAACGAAGTTATTGGGGTTGATTATATGTTTGCTCATATAACAATCGTTCGTGCGGAAGGGAATTTTTCTTCAATTATCAAAATTTGATTCCAGTCAAATTAAATCTTGCTAATCTTGGTTTACTCAATGCTACCAAATTACTGTACTCCATCTCTCTCTCTTTTTCTATCCGTAATGATGAATGAGATGATTTACGAAATAAAAACTAGAAAGTTATTAAAATTCCAGTTTTGGCGATTTATTTTACTCATTGAGACCGCATTACTTAGTGAGTGGAAAAGGTCTGCATATTATCACGCTTTACGGTATAGTTTTATCTGTTTTGTGTTAAGTTTACACAAAAATGTACAATTTTACAACACAAAAATGCAATTATCGTGTCTGTCGTGTCTTGGTTCGATATTTTACTGGGTTCCTGTAGCGTCAAGACACGACTAAGACATACATCATCATCGGCAAGTTTGGTAAACTAGTAGTTTTATTTTTTCAAAAATGGTGGTTAAGGATGGACCTTCGGTAAATGACCTGTTTTATATATGGCTGATACGTAATTTGGCATTGGTTAAATCGAAATAATCAACCCGCTAACTTGTGTTTGTTTGCTTTATGGCTTACTATTTCTGACAAAGACTGATAGCGCCGTCATCGAGGGTTAACGGAGTGCATTAACGGGTCTAGACTATAATTTTGTGGTTAACAAGGGAAAGGGTACTTCGATTCGATTAGAATATAGCTATAATTCATTACTGACCAAAAAATAATTAGAAAAAATCTGTGGAATTGATAATACTGACGTCACGCGTACGTGACATCATAATATTTGCTTTATTAAAAAATATATACTGTAGAAATGAAGAGCTACTCAAAACCTTGATATATGTCGAACTTATGCGCGATCGAACTTAAGGTTTATCACTTGACGAGTTCGGACCATGCATGATAATGGTGTGGATTTACCCATTTTGAATTGTTGAATTTTCTTATCAGTACCTGGGTATTTGTTTGTGTATATTTTATATCATAAATATTTGATTTTCACAACTCTCTAGGTCACTTAACTGGAAAATGCAAAAAACAACAATTCTTATCAGTGTATATAGGTATCGACATTTCTATGAAATCCAAAACAATGCAAAAATAAATTGAATTTTAGCCGGAAAATGATTAAACGTCGCGAAATAAGTTTAAGCGCATACCCGGAAACCGAGCAAAATTTAGAAATATTTTATTGTTCATAAACACGAATGATGGACTAAAAAATAAGTGTAAAATATGGTTATTGAGCATCTAACACCCTGGCGTGAATGCAGCGAAAAAATTATTTGTGCAAGAAGGAAAGCATACTAACAATCATATTTATCGAAATGCAAATTGAATTTCTATGTGTGATAAATTTGTACATTTTTACTTGTGCTGCAACGAATATTGAATCTGTAATTCTTATTTGGAAAGAATTCCATTTGATAGTTGTGCAATGAAATACCAAGGTATCTCCACTTTTGTGAGATAAGGAACATTGTTCCGACCAGAAGGCGTCTAGTTCGGTCTGGGCCATGACTTGCATATTGTTGGTTTATCTGTCTCATACCTATTAATAATTTATATTGATATAGATGCATAATTGGAATGCCTTGTCTGTATATACTCGTTTGGGTTTTTGCTGAATCTACTATTGCTTTCGAGACAGAATCGCCGCAATGTAGATTTCAGTAAATTTTTACTGCCCCAACTAATTAGCATAGCAGGATTTCTAAGTTGTTTGTGTGAAGGTCATTAATTTTATTATGAAAGTCTAACGTCATTTTTGTGACGTCATCATTTTTCAAAATTTGTACGGAAGGATACATATTTCAAGTAACTCATTGACCTTTACCTACGTTAAAATAAGTACCGTCATTTCATATCTTACTTTTGTATGGTACATTGATAATCAAGCTCGAATAGAGCTCGGTTATCATTGAACCTTGCTTGTTCAATGTAAATGAAATAAAATTCAAGACGAGCCGGCGCAATGTCAAACATTTAAAAGGTCGTCTTGCGCAAACAAAGGTCACTGAAATCATTCACAAGACAATCAAGTGTATTTGTCGATGTCATTTGTTTGTGTGTTATAGACAGACACGAAGACAATTAAACTGTTGTGCATTGTTTTCAGTTACATAGTTTTACCGATTGCATGATATTTGCCCAACATCTGGGTTCATAAACGAGTTTAGAACGGATTTTTTTTTTCGAGTGGGTTACCCGATAGCTTTTTTATACCCTGACTGTAGAAGATCACGCTTAATTTTTATTTGCCAAAATTTTGGGTAGGATTTTTTTGTTTTAATGGCATAAAACTAGGGATATTGTTAGATTTTCGTGAGAATTTAGTAATTCACTCCATTTTCTTAATTTCAGAAACAATTGCGCCAACTCGACAGAGACATCTTGCGGAAGTTTTTAGTGATCAACGATAGAATAGAAGAACAACGGTGGATGGTGGAAGAAAAACAAGAAGCGATCAAACGAAGTTTGAGTGAAGAAGGTCAAGATCCCGTAACTGTCAACTTTGACCTCGTACCGGAAATTGTTCCGGAAGAACAAGAAGATGACGAAGAAAGTATACAGTCTGTACTTTCGCGCCAAAATTCGAGCTGTGAGGTTTTTGATAACGATGACACATTACCGGCTGATGATACACCTGTAAATCAGGAACCTCCTATAGTGGCCTCAAAAAAGTGTTTAGACTCTGACTTAGTGTCTACATCGAGCGATTCAGCTCTTTCAATGAGCGGTGCCTCCTCTACACTGTCATCGACGACGTCTCTTCCAGTATCAAACCGATCCTCGAGTCCACCTTCGTCCAGTATATCTAACGCATCCACGGGGTCTTCTTCATTAGATAAAGCTTCACAAAAAAGTGAGCGAACGACGACACTCAGACAGACAGACTGTAATCACCCAGCGACACTCAGACAGACAGACTATTCAATAGAAGAAGACTTTGCCGGAGATATAGAAGGATACTATCGTATGCACGGATCATCTATGAAACGTGGATCATACCCGTTTCCCCGCCAAACGCAGTCTTTCAATGCGGGAGTGTACCAGAACAGCACAAAACATTATGACGATGGTATGATTCATAATAGCTCTGGTTATTCTACACGAAGAGGATCAAACGGTTCCGATTCCCGCGATGCTGCAGAATACGCACTTGCTGTAAGGAAAAGCATTATAAATAGAAGTTATTCTGGCCCGTTCCGCTCTAGCAGTGATGCGTATCAAAAGCCAAGGCCAAGATCCGCCTCCTCTAATCTAGAACCTCAAGATATTCGCAACCGCGCTAAAAGGATTTCTGTTCGTCCTGATGGCACTCATGATGCACTTCCTAGCGTTCCTAATCGTCGTCCGTATTCTGCAAACGATAAAAAGTCAGCTGCATACAGGCTCCTGCAACATCCTTCACATAAACGACATATAGCACGAATGAACGTCGGAAACCAGTTACAAAATTTAGCTTTTGTACCTATTGCTGAACAAGAACCAGACATAATGTACGAAAATGGACGATTATACTCCAACGATTCGGACGCAGGCACGAAATTTGAAACTGAACGTCGAGACTATCAAAATCTTATCGATGTCTCAAGACAACGACAACCGTTACGAAGCACAAGACAATGCCCTCCAGTGGTGCGAAAGCCTTCTGCTGCTGGTTCAGCAGGATCGCTGACGTCATCATCTTCACGTACGTCATCGTCATCACTGACGTCATCAAGTTCGAGTTCGTCGTTACATTCCCCAACGAAATTTGTCATGAACGAAGCTGATAGTTACTCAAGACCAGTACAAGAACCTGTTTGGGTCCAGAGAAGGCGGCACACTGTACAGTCTAACGAATATATTGCCATACCGCACAGTAAAGCGTTCCCAGCGTCATATGCACCAAAGTATTCGAACCAGGGAGCCCACAATTTGCCTGAACCGACCCAGACCAGACCAGTACCTAAAATTCGGTCAAAATCGTACCACACGAAGACCGAAACCGACCGTGTTTTGACTGTATCTTACAAACCCACAAACAAGGGTTCCAATCAAGCGGTTTACAACTGGATACAAACGCAAGATGACGTCACGTACTTGTGATGTCACTAAAGTGTACGAAGCCAATGACGTACTATGCTTTTGGTTAGCAACCGACCAAAGAAAAACCAAGAAAGTGGGGTTGTTTTGTTTGACACATTGTGGCGCGCAGGCGTGTTTGCAAGATGGTCGTTATTGTATTCGGACAAGCACGGACTATGTATGGATCATCCGTGTTTGTTATGTATGTTTTTGCTAGCCGTTCTCATTTTTTTCTGCAATATTTATTTTTAATTTTTGTGATTTTTACTTATTATATTGCCACTCGACCTTTTTTGTAACGATGTTCCATAAATGTTAGCATACTTGTAACCTAAAAAAAATGCCAAAGTCCAAGGCGTCCTGTAAACGACCTTACTGATTAAAATTGTTCTCTCATTCACAAAAACGGTCATTTTCAAGGACAATTTCCAACTTGTTTATGACGTAACAATAATTATAATTTTTCCGCCTTTCAAATTTTTGAAAAGAAAAAACTGACCGATGAATTTTTTGATAACCTGTGTATAGGTGTTTACTACGATTCGCATGTCGGCTCTATATATGGCCGAATTTGCTGTTTTTATTATGTTTGTTGTTAAATTATGTTTCTACTTCGATTAATTTTCCCTTTTTGGAATCAAAAATGAAATACAAGCAGATGAAATGATTACAATACATATGTTGTGAGCTGTTTAATAGTGTCAAACTGTGAGACTCAAGGACGCGCTATATCCTCCATCCTAGGAATCAAGACACGGATTGTTAGGGATTGCTTGCTATATTTACAAATGTTCGTTATGCGACGTGATAGATTTATCTAACCAAAGTATAATGTCAGTAAATTATTGATTCTCCCATAGCCATCATTTTATTCCTATTAGGAGTTTGGGGACTGTCTGTGTTAGCCAAGTGAATATATCTCCTGCCCATAGGCTTCAGTCCCTTTGCACAATTTGATGTTAAGTAGGCGAACAAAATTAGTTATCTTCATTTTGGCAAACGCACTTCTGGAGTGCCAAATTATTTATAGAAGAATCGACTGCCATTGCTTGTCGCACTACTTTTTGTGTTGCATCGTTGATTTCGGGTGCCATACAAAAGTATGGTGATTTTAAAGCAAGAAACTAATATCAAGTCATGCATGCGATTGGCTAATCGTAAAATTGTCTAATGTGACAGTTACATTTGTTGAAAGACCCGGTCTATCAAGTATTCCAAACACGGCGGCAGCTATGTTGCATATTTTATAAATACAAACACTGCATAGCTTTCGCATATGTAATCGAATCAAAAGATAGAAGTTGACACGACAGCATAAATAGTTTGGCTGTGGGTATTCACTTTTGGAGTTATCCCGTAACCGCTCGTTCGCTCGTCAAATTTATGCTATAGCCCTTTATTCAAGTTTTCTGCGGATTCAAATAACATTAAGAGTTATTGCACACTACATGATGCCCACCAGCGATGGGATTTGAAATTTAAAAAAGTTTCTTGATAACAAAAGCACTAACAAAAGGTGCCCTATTTCAGAAAACTATTCAGAAATCTATAAAAATACGAAAACTTAACATAAGATTACATGATAAGAAGAATTTGAACTCGATATTAACTGATATATGTCATTGCGTAAGCTACATCAACATTACCCGCTTTGCACCAATCTTGAACATAATTTTGGAAATATAACGCTGGCCGGACATTTTAAGAACGGGTTCGTCTTCTGAATGCTCATCAGCAAGAAACAGCACATTATATTAAGGTCGTGCATGATTACAGTCTTTCTTGCTTCCACAGATCAAACTGGGCGTTGATTGAATACAATTTAATATAAAAGATCGATTAAAGCAAGATTGAAAAGAAGATCAATAACGATCCAATAGAGCAAGAAAACTATAGGACAATATTATCGTAAACACAATATATAGTTAATGAGTAAATCATAAAAATACTGCCATGGAAATGATGATTAATGTTGCAATTTATAAGACTGTACACAAAAAAAGATATTCAAGAAAACGCGACGACCCGAATTCACTATAATATACAGGTATCGCAGATTTGGGACTGAAAGACTCGACGACCCCAGTTGTGTATGAAATTGGATAGGTTGACTATACAGAGCGGCAATCGTAGAGAATGAATAAATAAAAAGTAATTGAAGGTTAGTTTATGGCAAAATAAACCCTGAAACGAATTATTTGAAAATATAAAACTTCTCCTAATGTTATCATGGTGTGAATATAGTCGCTCAAATTTCTCTTTGCTGTATATGCAGGACAGTATAGTGTCGCGTAAAAGACGAGACCGGCTTAGGACTATCCAATAAACTGATTTTGGTGAAAAAATGTGACTCCACAACTGCGCTGCACCGCTGACACTCGCCCCCTATTTGGTGATGGCAAAATTTTGACTGCGAAAACTTTGTTTGCAATAGTTTTTTAATATAGATTGCAATTTTAGAATTACGAAATCCCGACACGGGGTGTCTGTATCTCATAAATGTTTTTTACTTCTTCCCACACTTGTCCCATTTTGTCCTACTTGCACAACTACTCTTGGTTAGGATAGATGAAAACCGTTAGAGTAAGCATGCGAAGTGGGTTTCATGCTATATTCTATCCACATGGAGTGAGATTCTTACGATTGCTACAAGTGTGGAACAAGCGGGACTCGATATTTTTGAGACACCCCAGTGAAAATTCAAAATATCCGGAAGACGTTGCTTCCAACCACATATTAGTATACGAATTAAAACAACGCAAAATCTTCTATACAAAAATAAATGACCGCATATACGCTAATGTTGAGGCATCGGAAACACCCATATAAAACACTACGAACAAATCAAAATAAGAAGAATGTCGTAACATTGGAATAAAAAATATCAAAATCATAAAATAAAAATGTTCTTATCTACGATAATTTACTGCAATGGCGGAACTGGTTAAATATGACGATAAAATGAAAAATAATAGTTGATAAGCTTATTTTATGAAAAAACAGAATAAAAAAACTTGAGCTAGCTACGAGAGAGAAAAAAATAAAAATATAAAGAATTTTCAAATTTTTCATATAATCTGGGAGCGTGATAAATAGAAGACTTTCTTCTACGAGATGTATATTCGAATTAGTATGTGACGTCACCATGCACATGACGTAATTCCTAATGCGACGATAATTGAAAATAGCAATAATATCATAAAATTTCAATTGGCAGAGTGGCAACTGGAAGACGGGGTCTATAATTAACTTGCCTAACTAACTATATTGCCTATTTATGACGTCATTATCTAGTGACGTCACCCGTTGGCGATTTGGTACCTCCAAACAAACCTTTAGGAGACATCATACTCAAACATAGCTTTGACAGTGTCATTTTACGTGAGCGAATCAGTGCTTTGCATAAATCTAATAGTTCATGCGTGTACGTGTGCGTTAGCGTTCGTAACTCGTTTCTCATGACGTCATAAGGGTATTTTTGTTGAGCCAATCGAATCCATTCATCAACCTCTGATAATACGACGTCACGCTTTTCCATATTTCCATTCGAAAACCTGGAATATGCAAGGAATATATATATGAACAAGAGAGCAATGGTAAAATATATATGGACACGGGAGTCAAGGGGCATAGACAAGTGTTCCCATTTGTTAAATAAAGTATTCCCATAAGATAAAATAAATAGGCAAAATATTGGGTCGAACACAAGAAGAAATATGAAAAAATAAAAAAAATGGCCATCTAGCGTTTTCACCCATCCTAAAGTATTTAAAATAAAATAGGTTATTATTTGTGAATAAAAGCGTTACGCAAGCTTGTTACTTATATGACTCTATTCTTAGAGCCGAACACGTTTTTACCGGTTTTACTCAAGTTGATGTAGGATTACAAACGACAAAGAAAGTATAAATAAATTTAATATATCATACATTTTAAATAGCAATCAGATATTAGAAGCTCGGGGTTGTGTTTACGTACCCAGTAAAACTGTATGCTCACTTTCTTTTTCCTAATTTTTTACTACTGAAAAAACGTACCTCCTGAAGTATGCCCACCAAGATGGCGCACAACCTGAACTCAGGTTGTGTACCAGGTTAGGGTTAAGGTTGTGCGACATCTTGGTGCGCATACTTCAGGAGTACCAAAAAAACTATATTTGACTATGACTATGCTACTGTTGAATGTCTCTCACCATGTTAATAACGTTTCCATTAAACATCGAAACGCTTGAGCATTGGTTGAACCGGATGTATCCAGTTCCATCGACTTTTTGAAACATTCAAGAGCATTTGTGTCTTCACCCTACAAACAAAATTAGCTGTTTTTTAGTAATATTTTACACAGTGGGCACCCTAAAAAGCTTAAGTAACTGCTTTAGACAATTAATTAATTTTTCACAAATTGCTATAAGACGCATTTTACTAAAAAAAAAAAGTACTTTCTGAACTAATGGAACTCGACGTTTTTTGGGAGCCACGAGGAAAGGTTTCACTACGTAGGTTCTGCATTGATTTAATTTGTGATTGGACGGTAATGCAACTTTATTATTATCAAACGTGACACATAAATGATAAAAAAAAACGGTAAAAGCTAAAATAAGGATTTTTATAGAAGAAAAGTGACACACGTGTTGAGAGTTTAACAAGGGGCCATGGAACATAAAATTGTTCAGGTTGTAATTTGAAGTGGGCCCAAATTATAGAGTAAAACCCGAAAAAATGAGCTGAGATCCTATTTGACTATCACAGTCCATGATGAAGTGATTTATGATTTGAAATCTTACTTTTATCCTCAAACATTTTCCTCTTAGCAATTGTAACTCAGGTAGAATATCTCCGGTCTCACATTGAAGAGCTTTTGAGAAATAGACCAAAGCACTGTTGATCTCTTCATCGTCTACAATGAAAGATTCCTTGAACGCATCGACGCCTATGAAATAGCAGACCTGTATGCAACAAATCAAAAAATAACATTAACATTCTGACTCCCGACGTCAGAAAAATCCTTACGAATCTGAGGCATTCGGATATCCGGAACTAGATCCAAAATTTCTCCAAGTTGACAAATATTTCAAATCCGGGTTGAAAAAACTCTGAATTCAGCTTCCTACATTAGCAGGCCGAATCTAAGGCATTCGGATATCCGACATCGATCATTCAAAATTTCAAATCCGGGTTGAAATACTTTTGACTCCAAATCGAACTCCCGAAATTAGGAGGCCTGAGGAATTAGGACTCAAATCATTGTTACGTGATAATCATCAGAACCTATTATTTGAATTAGATGAAGCACGTAATTCATTTAACAACAATTAAAGGGAACTGTTCTGTTTTTTTTTTTTTGCATTTCACTCACTCCGACAAAATGAAGAATTTCAAATAAATCTCACTTGTCCAATTTCAATGTAAGTTGCTAAATCATCGTCATTGACCTTCAGAATCTCTTCAAGGTCAAGTTTTGCGATTTCCAATAATTCTCGGTCAGGTATGCTTCCCGTTCCATATTTACATTTCGATAAATCCTGCGAATATTATCATTATCATATAGTTATATCAAACCGCGAATGGTCATGGAATGGGCTTACAGGGACTAAATTGCTGTAGCTCGGTTTAAAAATGCCTTTCTCGACAATGGACCAATCGATTTCAAATTTTTACTACTTAAAAATGAAAGAAGTCGTCGGAAGACTGTTTGAAATTTGTCCCAACCTCGCAGTCCGAAATTTATTCTCTGATTTTGAATTCAATATGACATTCGATACAAATCTTCTGAAAGTTTGGATGACATTCGGTACAATGTTTTTAAAATTTATGGATAGTATTTGCCTACATTTCGCTGGCCATATTGGTCATTTGACACCCGTGTCCAAATATTTGAGCATTGCTATCATATTATTTTTTGAAAAATTCAAAGTGGAATATTGGAAAATTTGTTTGATTCAAGCTGCGCTGATCGGCCACTGCTCCGTCCACCATCAAGACCATGCATTTGCAAAACAAATGACTGGCTAACTAATCCCATACCCGGGATGGTCTGGTTGAACGAACCAAAGGCCGTGGCACGTCATACGATTAAGCCATATTATCGGCTTTTCTCTCCTCTTCAGTGATAAATATGGAAATCCTCATCCCATCCTACTTACTTACCCTGACATACAGTTCCATTCTCAGTCGCGCCCTCACGTGGTAGGCAGAATAATTTTTCGTCGCATCAGATTCGACTTGAATTGACATGTCAGCAGCCCCAAGAGCAAGTTCATATTTTTGTGTTGACTGAAATAACTGAAAATATAAATAGATGATGTTGATTTTCCATGACAACTAATTGAGCAACTGCCTAGGTATATAAATACAAATTTCGTAAAAAAAAACAGACGAGGATAGATATAAATACAAAGCTTGGAAGGATTTTTCCGATTCGTTCTGGGTGGCAATCTACTAACAAATGCGCTAGCATAAGTTAAAGTGCTAGCTCTGCAAACCCATGTGTCTCACAGAGGAACATAAGAAAAAAAAAATAAATAACAAACTACGTGAAGCGGCTAATGCTCTGAGCTCAACTTTGTTGGAATTGCTCGTTAAAGATTTCAGGTTTAATCCCAATTTGACTTCGATTATGAATAAAATTCTGATTCCAAATTCAAAGTTTTTCCAACTCCGACTCAGCGAAATTTAAAGATACCACTCAGATTCTGATTCTAAAATCAATAAAAACACGCCAAACCAACACCCAGAACGTTGTGACACATGGTAGTAACAAAAAATCATATTTACTTTTGCAAGCCTGTTCAGTATTGTTGTATTTTTATCTGCAATTTCGATAGATTTGCTGTAGCAATCAACAGGTTCGCATCCAGTGTACCCACAATCATGGATGGACATTGGTGTTGTCTCGAATGATGATTGTCGTTCTAGTAATATTCCTGCAAAAAGAAACAATCTTTAACGACGAAAAGTTTAAAACTATAAGCATAAGGACTAAATAGAGAATTTTTCGGAGTTTCGTTTCGAACATTTCGTTTTGATTACAAGATCATTCCAGTAAACGCAAGATGTAAATCACGCCATATTTGAAAAAAAGAAATTAAATAGGTTTTCTCATAGCAGGGTTAGAGGTCTCTCACTTAGGCTCAAGACGGGCTACTGATCGAGGAGTCGAAAGCGACCAATATTTGAATTTATTTACTTGATAGCGATGATTGTATTTCAGCAGGGCGAACCACTGACCCGTGGGTCACAAAGTGACCCATCATGTGTTGTCAATGACACGCTAAATCACGAAGTAAGGCATAAACTATACTATTAATTCATAACTTTGTGATAATAATACCGGCCTTAATTTAAGCTAACAATATGCAATCTACAATACTGTACACAGATACAGCATATACGCGCTGATAAATTTTACTTACTGTACGAATCTTACCCAAATAACTCCACGCTAGAGCTGTATGGTATGTTTGTGTTGATTTCGTTGCTTCTTTCAATAAGTTGATCGTTCGGTTATAACCAGCTAATCTTGTAGATTCTCGTTCTCTCGCTTGCAACATGATAGAATCAAGTCCCAGAAATATTGACGACATTGATAAATACCAACGAAATCTCACTTCCATTGAAATAAAACTGAAAAAGTTTTTTTTATATTATCCAACTGAACGTTCCAGGCACAATGGCCCAGTGGTTAAAGTGTTGCACTCAACTATATTGGCATCGCAGGTTAGAGATCTAAGCAAGGGTTTACGCACAAAGTGTAATAAATTGCCGAATCACAGTTCTTCCAAAATGGGGCAATTTCCTACGTATCAGTGGGTAGAGAATGAAGGACGTAAAAATTAAGTCGTTACAGTCATTACCCAGATCCGACGGATAGAGCCCGGTCATACATATTTATGGCTGTTAATAAATGTTGTTTTCTATCGTCATATGACATCACTCCTACGTCAAACGCGTAAGCATACGCTTGTTCAGCAAGACACCGAGCCAATCTGACACTCAATTCTTTTTCAGTGACGTCAACATCAGACCGTCCAAGCAAATCGGCGATCTAAAATTATTAATGTAAACTAATTTAGGAAACAATATAATTTCAGTTTTCATACTGTTTCTAATTTTCAAATAAAATTATAAATATTTGTTACTCATTGTTACATTTTTCGAGCACAACTACATTTTCAAAGTGGTATTAATAGGTGTTACATAATATACCATTTTTTATTCATTTTTAATTTTAATTCACGGATTAATTATTTCTAATCATCTCCCCCAATGTTTACTCTCCATCACTGGTATCTAAATCATTTAAATGTTAAAATATAACAATACCGTTTTCTTGCATCCAGCTGCTCTTTCCTGCATTTCAGGATTCTTTGAGCAAACAAACACAAGACCAGCTATTGCATTTAGATTCGTTTTGTCCTGATCCAGAGAGTCGTCGAAGTATTGAATTGCTTCTTTATATTTGCCGAGATAGCCTGCCAGTACCTGGATGCAGGAACACAAATTTGTTAAAGAGAGTTTGAATATAGATTTCTGGGAGGCGCGATGGCGGTTAAAACGTTGGACCCATCTATATCCGCATAGCCGATTTCTCATATCAAGTAAGTCCTTACAACATATTGTGAGATATCAGTCGCTTCCTGCATAGGCCTTGTTCGCAGCATTATGCGTGAATATGTGTCGCACAAAAGAAATTGCCGTTCAAACTTTCTCATCGAGGCCGTAAGTTTTTTCCCTGATAATTTGGCGCGGCACGGACAAATGGTTTGGAAATTCTTGTAATAGGCAATATGTACGTCTCAGTAACGCCCCAGCTATTTAGATAGATTGGCAGAAAATTGCCGGTGACGATATGACTTTTAGTGATTTAACGCGGTTCCCACGAAATTTGAATAACTCGCCGGTATCTCGTTTGAAATTGACCCAGAGGCAATATGATAACGGTGTATCAGTGTGCGTGGTATATCACGATACATATTTGCATCTACGATTATCTAAATTGCTTGAAAGGTCGTTCAAGTTCAAATTCGATTGGTGGATTGCAAAATGATTTTTTCAGTTCGATAACAGGGTCGTTTTACCATTATCACCCAATCAAAGCAATAACTTGCATATTACTGGGAAACTTGTGCACTTCAATATCATGATGCACGCATATAAATGCCAGGTCTCAAGAAGCAATGCATTTTGGGTACCCCCTGTACAGGGTACCCCCACAAATAAAATAAAACAGCACCTATAAATGTATTACGAGAATGACGAATAACGAGAGAATGACGATAAATTACATTTATTTGAAACTTGTACACTTCTGTTTATGTATGATTGTACTTAGAGGATCAGTACACTAGGACGCTTTGCACGAAAGTTGTTTTCTCTAGAGCAGGGGTCACCAACGCGTTGCCCGCGGGCACCAAGTCGCCCGTTAAGACCATATGAGTCGCCCGCAGGTATGTTCCAAACTAAGCTTAATAACGGCGCTTATGAGTAAGCTACATCAATTAAATTTTGTCCTACTATTCTTGTGTAAATCACACTTATATGGGAATCGGAAATGGCACTATATTAATTATTGTAGCCATCAACCTGATTTTTATTTGATCTCAGTAATGTGACGGGTCAATTAACACTCTTGCAATTAGGACATCACACTGATATCACTTACCACCAACCCGCGCTTTTTCTTGTCCGTTGGTTTGTAAAGCAGCAATAATATAATTATTGATTCCAAAGAAACGATGAATGGGGGTGGATATATTTTTAATACCATGAAAACAGCCTGCGCGTGTCTCATTTGTGGGGCGATTGTAGCGACGGCAAAGCGAAAAGATATTTCACGGCCTGTCACGCAATCTACCGCGCTTAACTATCCACTGGTCAGCGCAGTACGGGCAGAATCGCGATTCAAATCATACAGCAATTCTATTTTACGAGACCATTGTTTCGTTCAGCCTATCTTTGTGAATCAACATTTTTGACATAAACTCAGGATAGGATGGGATTTACATATTTATCCCGGGGGAGAAGATAGCCGATAAGGTGGCTTAACCATATGGCGAACCAAGGCATCTCGTCCGGTTACCATTTCATGTCGGGTATGGGATTAATTAGTTATTTGTTTTCGTAAGCATGGACTTGATGGCGAAGAAAGCCATCCCCAACGGCGGCAAGGGTCCAGCAATTCTCTCGCACATAACTATCCTCGCATGGGATTCTAACCTGCAAACCTAACGCTTAGCACACTAACGATGGCCACACAGCCGCGACTTTTTAGAAGTACACATTGAATTGGTAGCACGCGGCCTAATCTGTACCCAGAAAGTAGCCCTCGGCCTCGAAAAGGTTGGTGACCCCTGCTCTAGAGTCTAGAATATGTTCCAAATGATCTATGTTCAGTTTATTTTGGAGTAAGCTTGTAGATACGCGTTTCAGCAAAAAACTCGCCCTATTCAGGGGATGAAATTTCTTATTTCTAACTCAGAATGGCGGCATTGTTGTTCAATCCAACTATAATTAATAAAATTTCGGCAGACTGAAGTTTAGATTGCGATTAAGATATTTATAGTTCGTAGAATATTTCCTAATATGGTCAAAATAAATTCAAAGTAAACACTAATGACACTCCTATATAATCAATTTAAATATAGCATCGCCCACACTAGATATTGTTACACTATGAAAAACGAATTTACCATTTTACCACAATTTAGAGGTAAATGTAACCAGTCGTTCAAATTTTAAACGGATTAGTGTTCTATCAAGCATGGGTAGGCGTTGAATCGCAGTTCTAAGAACGTTATAACAGCGGCCCATACAGATATAGACTATGACTGAAGCAACCACAGAATGCAAGTATTTTGTTTTTGTTTTTTTACTTAACAGTTCCTCAAATGACCTATCTAAGCAGAATATAGCCCGAGGCGAACAGCGAATGCATCAAACGTTCAACGAAGTTGATGACTTAATAATTTATATATATATAAATATATTTTGAAAAATGCCACTACGTTGACATCATTTTATGGATGAAAAACCGATTCCTCTTCTGGCAAAAAAGTACCATTTTGTGTATTTATCACCAAGCATGGGAGGAAAATAGTCAAAGATGCCATTTTTCAAATCGCCAACGAATTTACGGTTGAACATTTCAAAAAAACAATGGCGTTGAAATTTAAAAAAATGAAATAGATGGAAGAACTTGGAATTGAAATTACGTTATAGTTCGCAAAACATATCCTGTACCTCGTATAGTTTTAGCCGTGTAGTTTTAGCCTGGTTTAAAATAATATTAAAACGCTAAATAACTCACTCCAAGAAAAACCAGCACTGATTCTCGATCGATGACGTCATCATCGTTCAAATCTTCTAATAAACTTTGATATCGCAATGTGAGATCTCTTATATGTGATTTTCGTATGTTGTCTTCCCGGTCATACGAATTACTGCAAAACGAGACAATAGTAGAATAATTATTATGACAAATCAAATGACAAACACTGCATGGGCGAGCGTGAATATTTTCGTGGAGTAATTATGAATACGAGTAAAAGAATTGCTGGAATTCTCACCGTTGCACAGAGTAAATGACTTAGCTGGTCGGTTATGGCTTCTTCCACCAACCATCATGCATTCGGTAATACTGAACAGCCGGACTCAAAGGTATGGCCAATCTGGTCCAATTGGAAGACCTCATATATTATATAATTGAGCCGTCATGTTCGTTTTACTTTTCCTTGTTAGACAGGGAATTTTAAATTTATTAATATGTGTGGCGGAGTTGTGAGCGCTATAGAGGAGTAAGGTATATATATAGCTAACCCAAGGTGAAGCCCGAACCGATAAAACATTGCTCAATAGCAAACAATATTAGAGAGTGGCTTTCGAGTACCCAATACTAAATATCAGTGCTCTACTTTACCCTTACTCAAACTATGTTAAGTTTGACACACTCATAATGGTTGGAATAAGGTCGGATATATCGCTTAATCACCAATTGAATGGTCCCCTCCGCGAAGGGATTATTAGGGCAGCATATAGTGAGTTTGATGTTTATCCAATATTTATGCTGTCAATCAAGTGCAATGTTTCATGTGAAGACTTCTAAATCATAATACAGTCTTCTACTCACCCGCTAGATTTTCGTCCCGATAGTTTCTTCCTTAGTGTGACGTCATGATTGGAGATTTTTCTCGAATTAATGTTCAGGTCCAGATGAAATAATCCAGGAATAAAATCGTCGATGTCAAACGTATCATCCATATTGATACAAAAGAACGGCAATTCGTTCAAGTATAGCTGTTTTTAATTAGACTACCCACGCTATACATTATTTCACACCGCCTACATTTCTAAAGATTCACAAAGAATAGCGTTGAGTGACTGTCGTAAAAATTAAAAGCCTATGTTGACGTAGTCTACTAAAATTCGGAAATTGGTAACAACGAATGCTGAATGAAAATTTTGATCGTAATGTTCTAAATGATCATAAAATAATATTGCGTTCATTTCAATCGATTGTTATGCTTTTCAAGTTCAATTAACGAATTAGATTTAATTGCATTCAACGACCAGAGAAAAAATAAATGCAAACTAAAGCTGGCTGCACAAAAAGTCAATGTGTTGTAGTCTAGAATTAGATTCTAGAACATTTAAGGAAATGTCTCGTAAAACTTGAATATAGAGACCCATTCACCAGCAACGCATAAAATCAGCATTACTTCGCCAAGATATACTTTTAATGCATTACAGAAACTCGAATGCTTGGAAGGCATGATTGCTGGCAACGCATGAAAAAGGTATTGCCAGTACTGGCCTACCAGAGTTTTTGGATATTAACCGTTTTACGCCATATTCGTAGCTGAAATCTGATAGTGAAATATCGCATTTTCAAAATTGAAAGTTCGAATACGAGCACTATGTAAAATCGGTTGTTTCGTAGAGCGACAATTTCCCAGGCTTGCTTTTGCTCGCGGTGGCAATTGGTGCAAAAATTGCCATTTTACGACGCCGTTAAATTACAAGTCAATTTGTTTTCATGAGAATCGATTATTGTTTACGAGTTGGTCGACTACCACAGTGGCAGCGACAACATTGTCAATCATTTGGGTCTATCAATCAATTGAAATTACGACAATTGCGGCTACGAAATGCTGTTGTAGTTTATGGAACATAAGTGAAAATCTACCATTAGGCTCATGGCCTGGGCATATTCAAACACTATTTACTGTCGTATCTGGCGAATAGTTCAGAAACAAAGACCCGGTAAATTTCCGAAAAGACACATCAATCTAAAACACAACGGTAAGTATGAAGTAGTACATTTGGATCAACTCCCTTTACATGTACTTCTCTGTATGCCGTAAAAGATGGGAGTGTCTTCTAGCCTTCCCAAAACTTTTCTTGGTGCTTATAGCTTGAGGTCTAGCGGCATATGTCGAATACCCTGCCGCAGTCTCATATTCCTTCCCGGCCTGAACTGGTTCATCGATTGAGGGCGGTTCAAATCGCTGCTAGAGCTGCATTCTGACCTCAACACGAGTCAACAGACACCTCACGCTTGAGGTAGATCTCGCACTATGGTGTGGTAGACTTCGCGCTATGGTAGCACCCTTTCTTTACGCCGAAGGTCTAACAATAACATACAGTAAGGCATTTACGGGAATGTTATAGTCTAGTTAACACCGATTGAAGGCAATACAAAATGATGCCATAAAGTTTACCTCGGCCTCGCGTTGATGTAGATTTCGCGTTGTAGTGTGGTGAACCCGCGCTTCGCTAGCACCCTTTGTTTTTGTGAAGGGTCCAATCTACATACCGGTAAGGCATTCGCAGACATGTTATATTATAGCTTACACCTGAACCAATATATATGATAAGGGCGGCAAAATGCTCCCTTTCCACGTTCATAGACTACACAAATGGCAACTGACACAATGGCTGAATCACTGCGGCGTTCAAGCAGAAATCCCTTGTTGTATAGATTCCATCCTGTTTTGAAGAGGAAATTTCCCTTCGTACCGGTAAGTACAACGCACATCACGAAACTGGGCAGGTATTTTTAAAAAACAACAGAATACAATCAGAGAAACGAAATGGCATAATACGTCATAGAAGCAATAGAGGGAAAATGCTTACTTTCTATATTCGGCCATGCGTGAAAATCATTGATATATGTATAGTACTCGCACAAGACTGCGTAGAGAAATAAACGACTGTGAAGTGTTAGGCTATACATTTTAAAGCTACAATGTAATGGGGAAATTACAGTTCGCTGTAGGCAGGACTCTGAAAATCAAGAAATTGGTGTTCTAATATTGTCTTTCAGTTATATACGAAGCCATTAGATAACAAGCTGAGATGCAAAGCCTGCCAAAATAATGAGAAAAAGACTCCTCCATTTTTTTGTTTAAAAAATTGTATTTACCTGCTGGTACATAATTCGTCATCGGTGAACTCATACGTCAGGAATGTTCACGCTAAAACGGTTTGCTGACGAACATTATAATTAATTATCGATTTCAAATTCTTTTACATTTACGCAAAGTGATAATTAGGTATTTACAATACACCTATATTTTCTAAGGTGTGAAAACACAAGTATAAATAAATGCTTGTCTTCCAGATGCGGCGTAAAATTACATTGGAATGTTTCAGGTGCATTTAATTCTAGACAATAATTTTGGAGGCGAATGCATCATATCATTACTTATTATTAAAAAAAAAAAGTGAACACCTAGTTTAGCTTGACTTCCGACCCGCAAATCAGTTCTAATTGATCTAATCAGTGTCAACCACTTATGTTCGCATTTTAAAAACTCGCATCAAATAAGCAATTTTGATAGCAAAATGTCAAAAATAGTGTGGCATCATACCCAACGTCCACTTTTTGTATACAAGTAAACCAGGCGTCTATCGAGCTCGCGACGGCTCAGACAAATACTATCTACTTTAAAATGTCATTATTACATTATCTGCTTGGTTGGACTAGCAAACTCATACTCTGATTTGCCTTTGCAATTTCTGAATAGCAATATAAACTGAGTCGCATTCCGAGCTTGTGAACGCATTTTACTAATTGCTGAATTGAGTATAAATGTTTACGTAATCAAGTACTTTCACCTGGTGCAGTATACACACGTTAGTCTCTGCTGTCTAGTAGCCTTGGGCAATATTACGATGGGAGCATAAACAAGATAACGTATCGGATATTTGTGGCCAATTGCTATGAATACGACCAGGAGAACATTGGCCTACTTATTTAAAATGTTTTCCTCTACAGTAGCACACTGATACGGCGAATTACGGGTCCATTTACGGTCGGGCAGTTTTGGATTTACTTTTCAACTCCTCTTCTTGTCCTCGTCCTAAAAGTCTCCTGAAATACCATCAAGTCAAATGGTATGATGCGGACCATATAGTGACTACATTAGTTATGCACGCACAGATATGCACCCATTAACCAATTATCGGAATCAACCGGAAAAATCGAATTTAAAGCGAAATGAACTTATATTGTTGACGCATGTTGAATATTTTGAACAAAATATAAATACTTTGAGCAGATCGAAATTTTAATAACAGGTTCTTTTTTGTATCGAACTCACTAACAACATATTCAGTCATTTCTGAAAACCACGGCGACGTTATAGCTATAACAACACAAGAACAGGTTCACTGATTAATTATCGCGGAATTCCAAGCACGGGTTCGAGCGAACACCCTGAATCTCACCACTGACTTCAAGTTTAAAATATTGAATCGTGCAACGCACACCGCCTTATATGTTGCCTAATTATATACCCACTGTCATACGTAGAAAATAGCCCGTATGTGCCTTAACATGGTTTACTTTACAGCAACTGACAATCCCGGAAGTAAACTTCAATCCATTTACTATACTAACATTTTTATCAATAACATTCAGAACTTCACGTTGTTTGACTGTCAACCTTGCTATCGCCTTGTACAACTCTGGGAAATATTGACGTCCTGAAAATATTGACATATCACGTACCTTCATTATAATCCTATATCTATCTAATTACTTACTCTAGGTACAAAGAGAATTGAAAGTATCTAATGTTATCATATGATACAGATCACCTAATCAATATTCATACCAGAGTCTATCAATCAAAAAATCAATTTTCTTCAAACGCATTCTTTTCGTTTGATGATGGATGGTCGTTGATAAACTTTTTGACTGAAAATATTTTTCATAATTATATTTGCTCGGTTCACGGCGTACACAACCAGTTCAATTATCTGCCAGCCCCCCTCAAAAACATAACTTGAATAGAAAGACTTATATTTCGCAACACTGGCACTCTTGGGGCTATCACGTATTGTAACTTAATATTTTAACATGCGTTGCATTTCAAATATAACAAATTAACAATGCATATTATATCTCAAATATCGAAGCCATATTTGAAAGCCGCATAAATGCAAGGGTGGCTAAGTTCGGAAATCGAATTAAATATTTTTCAATATTAACACCAACTTTGTCAAATTCTGCAATTTAATTATAATAGTGTATATGTCAACGTATCGTCATTTTATATATAACTTGCTCATTTCGTTATTTCGTAAATTATGCAAAATAAAATGTACAAAATTCTGGTAACATATTTTCTACCATACTTTTCACTTTAGAATCTCTTCTTTCGACTTGTTTGGTTTTTTATTATTTGCTCAAAGTATCTCAAAAAAATAAAAAAAAAATGAGTTTACAAGCTGCAAGTAAGAATTGAAACCACTTTCTAACATTCTAGTAGACTGCGCCAATAAAGAAAATCATTCGTATATCTCTACTAGTATTATATCTTTCAAATATCTCGCCAACAAAAACATCAAATATTTTCATTTTCTATTGATAAAGCCAGGTATCCGCCCACAACGTGAGGGTCGAGTTGTTACGAATATGTAAAGGAATTTTTGGAATCGGCAATTTTACGCCTCAATACGTTTGCCCGGAAAAGAAAGCAAACCTTAAACACATACCCTATACACGATTTTATGTAACGTTCGTATTTCCCAGATTTTAAAATATAGGTAACTTATTCTAGCAAGAATATAAATCACCATTCTCAGTGATTCGGTACATACTATCACAAATGTATTTCAGAAACGTTTCGTCTTGCCAATTCCAGACTTTTTCAAACAATCATATTTTAAATATAGTTACAAAAATACATTGCGCTATGGTGAGACTCTTGAATTACGTAGAATTTTGCGAAATCACCATTTTTTTCTTCTACGCCTTTGAGGAATGTTCTAAATGATTTCATACACAAATGTCGCAATGAAACAAGGCAAGCTGATAATAAAACAAGTCGCAACTGAAAC